TTGTAAATACAAAGCTATGCCAAACAGATGTGATTCATGTCACAGCAAGGAAAGCACTGGAAAACACGCGTTGTGTGTGTGTATGCATCATCAGGTGAGTCAGCGAGTGATATGGATTGCACCTCTGTGTCTGTCCACGGCTAATCTTGCATTGCGCTGCAGAAAACTTGATATTCATAGGCAGCTGCAGGCTCAATGACCTCTCATGTTTGTTGTGAGGCCCACTTTCTCAAAACACCTTTTATTGCCTGTTGTAAACGGCCGTTAATTGCCTGCTGACTCCTCATTCACTACTCTTAACTCCTTCTGTGCACCGTTCTAAGTAACTGTAGTCATTTCCTGTTCCATGGCTGTGCTATTATACACGCTTGCTAGTTGTCGCGGCATATTCATATTTTTGTTCTTGATGTTAGAAAAGTCAAATGTCAGCTGTGACTAGGTTCTTGTTTGTTGTCAATCCCAAAACTGGCCCACAACAGTATGCATGTATACAAATATATGTATACCATTTTTGTAATATCATAATGTTTGCCAATTAAATTTCTGTCAAACTAATGAGTCAGTCTACTTAGTTACTGATTTAGTTGCGGCACATCATCGTCCTGACATTTCTGCTTCTCTCTCTAGCTTTCTCGCTATGTCTCACGCACACGCTCTGATATGCACACTCAGCAGACTGCAGCTTTAATATTTGCCTTGGACAATGGTCCACTCATTGTCCACTCAAGAGTTTCAAAATACAGAATGATTATCAGGTGTATAATTTTTTACAATTCTAATTCCTGGAGTATTAAAAGGTTGGATTGCACCATTAGGTTGACTGTGAGCACAGGTGCTGATTAAGTTGATTCACTGAGGCAATTACAGCCAGATCCCCTTTAATTACTGTGGGTTTTATTGCAACTGTGTGGTAATGGTGCACAGGGCCTGCAGGAGTTTGAGATGGAGATGAGATGGAGATGAGATTGCAAAGTATCACACATCTACAAGACGGAGGATACTATTCACTCGCACGCTGGGGTGTGCACCGTTACACACAAACAAAAATTCCAAGAGTTTGGTAGGGATTAAAACTCATGTCTTTTAGTGTGGTGTGTGTGTGTGTTTGTGTGTTTGTGGTGGATTACACACGCTCTTAAATGCATTCATATGTGTGTCTAGCATGTCCTGCCATACACATTTACACACACAGACAGGTTGACACCCTCATAACCTCAACCCTCCCATCCACACTTGCTACCCTGCACAACACAAGCATGCAACAAGAAACGAGTCGACAGCTACACAGCAGGCAATATCCCCTCCCTTCAGCCTCTGCGCCTGTTTCGGATGCATCTGGTTAGTAAAAGCTGACAGAGGGCTGGCCATGCCTCAGAGGACAGGAGAATGAGGAATTTCAGCGTTCCTCCACATCAGCCGTGAGTGCCCCTGCCCCCAAGACACACACACACACACACACACTACACTACACAACCTGTGATGTGCTGCTAGGATTCCCCGTCACCAGGAATGGAAATCGAAAGTGGCCCACACATCCGTTATCTAAATGTTAACACCAGTGCCCTTCTTGTTGTCACAGCCAGGCAAGGTTAGCCAACACAAGAGCAGCTTTGCTTTGGGCCTCTGCCACGGTACACTCCTCTCGGCGGGAAGAGCGGACGTCTGATGCAAAATAATAAGGGAAAAGCAAATTCGACCCACTCGCATGAGGTTTGCAGAATTATTTATGTGAAGTAAAGCAAGAACGGAATTTCCTCACTCATCTATAATGCCACAAAAAAACTAAATTATGATAACGCACTCTGACCTTGTCCAAGGAGTAATTTCAATTCAAACAACAAGTTGTAAAGTTGCTTGCTCAGTGGCTTGCCAGGTGATAGCGGGGCGGTATCAGCTGTAGCTGCAGAGCCGCCGCCATGCGCTGACCCGTGCTATGTCCACAAAGCAAGGAGAGGCTACAGCACACACAGAGTGACTTCATTCTCTGCTCGGGTAAACATTAATCTGCTATATTTGTACATGGCAAATAGTTGTTTGCTGTGAAATTAATGTTAATGTAGATACAGCTCCTCTGAATCTTGAGCTGCTTGGATTTACTAACACAATACTATTAGGACTGCTTCTTGAAAAGGGATACTCAAAATGCAAACAAATGCAAACAGAGGACCATGTTTCCCTACAGACTTTTTTTGTTTTCTAAGCTTTAAATTGTTTGTAATAATAGAAAAGTACATACTATTTCCAAACAATAAATTAATGTAACCAACCACCGTCTCAAACTATGAATTAACTAAAAGTGAATAAATATTAAATAATTTCATACTTACATTTCATACACATTTGTTTGGAAAAGGTGACGGATGGGGGATTCTGCACTGGTGATTCCAAAACAATAGGTTCCAAGAAAAGCCGTTTTATTAAATATGTTTCTTCTCTTTGATTCCCGGGTTGGGGAACCTTCGACCTTCACATGCTTTTGGTCATGTGCACGTGATGGTGGACCTTTCAAAGCTCCTTTCCTGTGTGGTGCTGATTAATCACAGCATCATGACATCGGTCTGGCTTCAACCCAGAGGAGATGCGTGAGGCATGCAGTGCCTCAGCACTTCTCCAGGAGCTCCGGTGAACAGGATAGATCAGGGATGAGTTGGTCGAAGGAGACGGGTGGAGACAGTTGGTTGGACAGACTTGGAGACTGAATGCAGTCTGATGCAGCAGAGCTGGTATTTACGCTCCGACGGCTGCAGGATCCGGGAGCCGGATATATTTAGCCGCCTAGAGATATCACGCCGAGATGAGATTTCAAAGTGAAGTACCTGTTTGAAGATGCATGGCATTCCACAAGGATGGGCAAGGGCTACTGGGGTATAAATCTAGCACCCTTGCACCTGGTGTGAAGACAGGAGGGGAGTGTGACACCTAAGATTTAGAATGACTTACACACAAGACGTACATATGTAAACTACACACTCATCCACATAAATTTACACACAAGTCGTGAATGAAAAAGACTGTACACATCACTTTAGAGCTTCACACACACACACACACACACACACACACACTTTTACGCTCTCATAGACACAGACTGGGCGTATTAGATTTTCCCCCTGTGACATTCCTTTTTTTTTTGTTAAATCAAATTGTTCTGGATGTTCTCAGTATCATCCATCATGGTCTGATCTTGGCTGGGGGAGATCCTGAGAACCACAGTGTTAGAGGGAATAGAAACGACAGTTGCTGTTGTCACCTTCTTCAATAAAGCTAAAAGTGACTTTTTTGATTATATTGTCACGGAAAAAGGAAAAACATTTTTTTTAGCATAAGACACAGAAGGCTCAACACACAGTACTGAGACAATTTTCAATGGGCCTGTCAGGGGTAACATATTAATATGCACCTTCTTCTTAATCTGGTACCATTTATTTCATGGCAAAATAGAGGAATGATCTTGCATGACTGATTTTGAGACATCTGCGTCGTTGTTTTTCCTAGGTTTCTTCACTTTTAAGGTTTTGAAAAATGCATAGTGTTTGCACTTGCAAAATCTTCCCATTTACTGTTTACTTTCCTCTCTTATTTTGAAGACCATGTCTACAAACTCAACCTTTAACAGCTAACCCATGTATCAAGGTTCCCGCAGCGGCTTTCAGGTTACATTTGTTGGTTTGTAGGTAAAGTCCAAGTCCAAGTTAAGGACTAAACCTAATCAGGGGTTTATTCCTAAAACAAGTATGATGAAGGAAGGCCTCTTTTCTGTTGATCCCTCTAAGGGCTGCATGCCACAACCCATTTCCTCTTGCAGATGACACCAAAATACAATCTTTATTTGGCGCCTCTGGGCCTTTATGCGCACCCCCACCCCCCATCACACATCCATCCATCTGACTCTCATGGACTCCCTCTTTGTGAGGAATTTGCCCGGCTGCAGATTAGATTTTCCGGAATCTGCGATGTCAATGACACTTTAGGCAGCTGTGTCAAAGGGGAGGGGGAGGGGGGGGGGCATAGTGTACGTGCCTGTGTGTGTGTGTGAATATGATCGGATAGCTTCGTAAAGCCACCACTCGCTTATTTCTCATCCCTCCAGTCTGTGACTCATTAATCAAATATTCATACATCCCCTGTAAATACATGGAGAACACAGGCAACCCTCAGAGCGCTGCGTCCCCCTAAGCACAGACGCTCTTTCATGTCTCAGACAAAAAAAAATCCCCCAAATGCCTCAACCTCCACCCCCCCTCCCTACGACTCCCCACTGTCCATTCAACCCTGCCATCCTCCAACGTTGGAGAATGTCGCTCGTCCTTTGCCTCTGCATACTTGATGTTCCCGCTCTGTCCACACAGCCGGACGGCCGTCCATGAAAGAAAGAAACGGGACGTGGCCGGACACACAGATCAGACGGGGGGATCTAAATGATGCCTTTATCTGCGTTGCCATTGCTTCTCCATGGTAGAGCAGGAAAACAGATGGGAGATTCTTCCTGGTTTCTGTCCATCCATCCTCACCCTTGCCCCGGCGCTGTCACAGAAGGGACAGTTCGCTCCTTTAAAAAGAGAGGCTCATCATAATACAAGAATTTGTATTGTACAGGAAAACAGATTGGCATGGCTCAAACTAAAGGGGAAACACACAGATTATCCATGGTAACAGAGCTTTGCACACAAGGAAATTTTCTTTTCCCCTGCAGAGGAACACAATTGCTGGCAGTGTCACTGGGTCACATTTTTTCCGGTCCCTGGTTAATGGGCTGTAGAGATGGTTAGCACGTACGATTAGTTTTAATCTATTACATTTGACCGGGAGAGAAAGAGATTGAATGCATTTCAACACACCACTGAAGTTTGCATCAAGCACTGAAAAAGAAACAAACATTTTTTTTTATTTAACTAGATTCACTTCAAATGCCCCAAGTGGACTGAAAAGAAGCAAACCCATTAAGAAAGTCAAATATCTTCTGCCTGTCAGTGTTAAAAAGAATTTGACATGTTATTAAACATATTTTAAGGTTGATTTATTCAAACAAACATGTCCGTATTGTAATACAGGGCAACGTGTAAAAAATAGTCAGGATACTTACTTATTTACTTACATACTACAACAAAGCTGCAACAAAGCTTTGCAACCTAACACGTCTTAATAGTGTACTTCTTCATTACTAGCTCCTTAAGGTGTGGAGACTGTAGAGGTGTTTTGTAAGGATCATTTAGAAACAGAATAATTTATTCAGAACAGAAAAGAAAATCAAAAGTAAGAAAGATTACATTTTGTATTACTTATTATAATACAAAAAGCGTGGTTTGAAATGATACGAATCCTTTGAAATAATTGGCCAAAATTGTTAATTGCACACAATATTGATTTGGAAAGTTGAACGTCGTTTTTGGGTAGGAAATTAATCTAAATATTTTCTAATTCCCTTTTTTTATGTTTCGACTTCAGTGTGTGTAAGAAGAATATGTTAAATCATCTTACATACAGTATTACAAATTACATTGCAAAGGGTAATTCATAACAGATAGCACTTAATGAGATATGATAAATGATGATATCCGTTTCACTGTTAACTGTCACCCCTGCTCACTTGCATTGGTGTTGCATTAATCAGAAATCAATACCATTTTAAATATAACAATGCAGGCAAACCATTTTGTAATCACCCAACCCAATGTTATTGCTGTAACAAAACAATGTTTGTTTGGATTGAAAGATGTCGTGCAGAATTATGCCCTTCCACATGCTACTGCTGGTGAGGTGTCGGGTGAAGGGTAAAGAAATCCTCTGGTTTTCATTATTTGGCACAGAAGTTTGGAAAGGTTACTGGACTCTATCATCAGAGAACGCTCCACTCATAATATTTCTTATAATCTTAATATATAATAATAATAAAAGAATAATATATTCTTTTAGAACACTCCACATTACTCTTAGAATATCCACATAACAAAACCTGCGTGAAAGGATTTTGAAATGGACAAACACTAAAAACACCGACAACAAATCCAATAAAAATTGAATAGAAGTCGCTTTAAACCGCTCGCTTGAAGTTTTTATAACAAATATATGGTTAAAAATTAAAAGTATTTGTCTCCTTCATATGACTAAACACTTTGATTCACTGAATTAAGCAAATAACCAAAGGTTTCCTGACAATTTCCAAGAAAAAAGTACTACAATAAGTTTCCATGATGCGTTAACCAAGTAACTATGGTAACTATGTCACAAAAGGCTCTCTCGTGAGGTTTTGGATATCAGCAGTTGGATTCATTAAAAGAAGAAGTTCCCAGTTAGTAGTCCTTTACAGCAGCACAAAGTCCCCAGTAGTGGTGACCGTCCTGCGCGGGTCACGGATGAAGGGCCATTCTCTCTTCTCTGGGGTCAAACCTGCAGACAGGTCGTAATCTCTGCCGTGACCTTGCATAAAAGTGAACGCCGGGTATTTCTCCTTTGTCGACGGCTGCAGCACCTGGAACAACAACAACAGGGTTTCAAAGGAGCACTAGTGTTGCCCCCACCAAGTTCACTTCACAAGGTTTGCTTTGAATTTCATCACTTAACCTAGTTAACCATGATTAACCCGCTGAGAAATGACAGTGCATTCATTCTGATGTCATTGTTTCACGTCTGGTTTACAACATCTCCTCAACATGTTGGCCGGCTAGGGGAAGCAAAGCGAGAGAAGATTCATGGCTAAACGCTGCCACCTGCTGGTCAACTTTTATCACCCTGATCACATATTTGAAGGGCACGAATCAGAAATATATGAGCATCGCGATAAAGAATAATTGTTGTGAGACGTCCTGTGTGAGGCAGCACTATTCCCCACCTTTGACAACTCTTGGCTTATTCTCTCATAGTCTTGAGCACTCTTAGAGTAGAAACCTATGGTGCAGCTCGGGTCCATCTTGCTGAAAGGCATCTTCTTCGGTGAGGGGCAGTGATATGACTAGACAAAAAGAGACAAAATACATTAGACAATATTCATCAGGCCGAAGGGCTAGACAATGTGTTGCAATTGTGGGCCATACATACACATCATGACTACAGCAAATAAGATGTATTCAGCATCATTTGATGAATGAAATCCTATTTATCTGCTGTCACAGCATCCATAAATGTACAACTTGGGTGTGTTGTCACACCCCTGCATGCCAAAGCATTAAACAGAGTTACTATAGGGTTCTTATGTATGGGTCCTGAAATATTCAGGCTCAGAATACCTGATCCAGTATTTGCCGTATTTCTCTTAAGTGGCAGCTTCACACATCTGAGCAGCAAATAAATCAGCAGATAGGGACTCGGTAATTGGACCATGGGCTGCTTTAAGATTCATACCTTAAGTACTAACAGAAACTATTAAATTCACATTACTGGGGCCCCAGTCAGCTCGTCTGTGTAATTTCACATTACCTGGAGAGGGAAATCGCTGGTGCTGACATCCACAAAAGACTGACAGTAATGAGGGTCCATGTAAATCAAGCTGTCATCTGCAAGGACAAAACAAAAGACAAGTTATTCAAAAACATCGGATTATTACGAAAACGCACTTCTCTCCAATTTCTATGCAGAGTAGCTCAAAGTCACCCGCTTGGGCTACTGTTAGGCTTGTGTGCGTCAAATATGCCTCCCAGAAGGTTGTTGCTTTTTAATATCTACCGCGGCGGATTAAATTCTGCATAATCGGACGCGTTTGTACAACCACATTCTTTACACCTACAAAAAAAAAAGAGGTTGTCATTTAATTTTTGTGTTGGGGAAATTACTTTTACAAACACCCAATTATTTCCGACCATTTGCGTGTGATAAATGCCTCGCTGTGCCGCGCCTTGGCAGTGAGAATGCATCGCTTGTCATTTAGACATCATCCACCGCTGTATTTCAAATTGGTAAAATGTAAATGCGTAAATATTGACTGCCAAGATGTACAACTGAAGGTTCCTTCTGGCTCCTGAAGGTGATGAAGAGTGGCTCACTTTGGGGCACGGACACAATTTAATGCAAGCCGCCTATGGAAATCCATTACAGCTCACAACCTGGGAGGTTTACCTGTGATAAATGGGTGAGGCTTTGATGGGTCAGAGGGAATAAAGTAAGCCCTGCCTCACTTGCCTCCATCTCCACTCCTCTCAGTTTTCCTCAGGCAAACAGGAATACATTAACTTACTTTGTCTCGTCACACAGGAAGGGTATATTATGCAAAAGAATCTGTTATTCACACCGTGCGCTCACTGTGTGTCTTTCTCTGTTTTGCATGAAGCTAAGACTAACCTTGAAATCCTACAAAGTAGCAGGCCTGTTTGGGCTTCCCGCCGATGATGCCTATGCAGTACTCCAGACTCAGTATGCTCTACATGCGGAAACAGGGACAGAGAAATACAAAGTAGAGCTGACCGGGAGATCAAATACACATAATCTAATTCAGTGACAGAATAACGACGCTTAGTTACTTTACTCCTGTGAGTTTACATGTGATCCATCCAACACCAAAGGAGTTCAAAACAATAGTTCCCCTCACCTTTGCCAAGTTAAAATAGTCAGGGTTTGTCTTCTCCCCTCCCAGCCGCACAGGGATGAGGATGATCACGGCTCGGCCATCTGGCGGGAGCGAGGCTGAAACCGGTCGTTCGCTCTGCGGGGATGCGGGTCCCTCCGCGGAGGACGGCCCTGCTCTCGGTGCCTCGTGGCTATCGATGACATCAGCACTGTACACTATGGAGGATCAATATCAAAAGGGTCACTTTGTTTTCATGTCTGCCCCGTCTGTCAGTTTAGCTGAAATTATGTCAACATCATTGGAGGAAACGGTCAGTGTTTTCTTTTTATTTGAGATGGTTCTTATTTCTTATGAGCGTCCCCAAAATGTCCAATTATATGTAGCATCCGAACCAATCACACATATTTAAAAGATGTTCTTCTTTACCCTCTGACAAATTCCAGGACTCTGTCCAAACACACTGTAAATACCTAGGATGCATGCTCATTATATTAGGGCTGCAATTATTTTTCGAACCTCCAACCACACTTACAATACCCGAATGCATTCAATTTATAGTGCAATAACACAGATTAAAAAAGCGAATCCTTCCTTTTTGAGGAATAGGAAATAGTACATGTTTAACATATCTCATTGATAAATTACTTCAAATATTAGAACATGATTTTCCACATTGTTGACTCTGATGGACATTTGATTAATTATATTTTGGACAGAGGGTCGCATCTCTCTGGGACTCTCTAATATCAAACTCATAACACTGAAGACACTCGCTGTCACACCAGCTTTCTTCTGTTCTGGCTGCTGAACGTAAAAAACGTTTTCAGGCTATCGTTATAGATTTTGGAGTTGATGTATTTGTTATGTAATGGACACAGTGAGTCTCCTGTCACCCTTCCAAGCCTCTTCGTAGTCTCCCAGCAGCAGAGCGAGATGGTGGAAGGAGAAAGGGTCAGTGTGGGCGTTGTGCCCAGTATCCTGTTTTTATCAGCAGCTCATCTTTCATACCTGTACAGTCCTGGGAGACATACGCAGTTACACCCGCCAAGCCGGGGTCCATCGCCTCCTCAACAGCCTTCCTAAGAGAAACCAGACGGAGGGGATTTAAATGTCTACATGCAGAGGTTATGTCAAGTTAATGTCAGGAGCTTACACAGTTTATTACCATCGATTTAATTCTGACGATTTTCAAAGATCTGGCTTAGTAGTATACGTACATATAAAGATTGGCATTAATATTGTGGAAACACGTTGTCCATTAGTTGATTTGACAGAAAATCATTCATGATCATTTTGTTGCACTGATATTAAAGTAATTTATCTTGTATTATCTAATTTATCTGGTTAAAGCTTCCCCAATACAAATGTTTTTATTGGAACTTTATTTCATAAACTATTGATAAAATTAACCCCGGAAAAAATAATCTACGTAGTAATTGATAAACAAAGACTTTTTGATGTTGTGCCTTAAACAGAAATAAATACTCATGTGAAACCCAGATGTCAAACGTGAAATGCAATGTTTCAAATAGCCATTACTCTGAAATCCCTGCCTTGGGACCTACTTGAGGATGTGTGCCACCACAGCAGGCCCATACCAGTCCCCCGCCTGTTTTCCCATAGTCAGGCCCGTGCCAACCAGCCTGTGGAGGCCTAACTCAGCCGAGGGGCTGTCCCCGAACCAGGACACCAGAGTGCGGTGGTACATCTCTTTCAAATGAGCGTCTGCCTCCTCTGCGGATCCCCGGGCATGGGCTCGGTGCGTGGGCGGTGAAGCTTGATCGGAGGCCCCGGGGGAACCTTGAAGAGAGGCCTCCAGAGAGGCCACCAGACGTCTTGCTGCGGTGGCAGTCCAGGTCTCTGCGTCTAAAGGCTGGAGCGACATCGCTTCCGACCAGGTCCAGTCTGTGGAGGAAAAAATCACGAGCTATAATCCACATCAGAGACTCAAATCTAGGGTTGAGTTTTTAAAGTGGCCTTTGGATACAAATTTGATTTTGCTAATCAACTGTACTTCTTAGACCACTGACAGTACCTCGGACTACCAATATCCTATACTGCATGTCTGTGGGTGCCAATTTCAATAGGATTATTTGTCATGTTATGCAAGTAGATAAAGAGGTTGAGCCAGAAATCACCAACACAACAACACATTATTAATGATAAATAAGTAATACATAATTATCCCCATCTAAAAAGGGTGCCACTGAAAAACACCTTTTACAAGGACATAGTTGTAGAGATGAGATGTGAAATGAAGGTTTTATTTGTAGTGTACGAACACGTTTACAGGTTTGTAATAGAACAACAACTATTTGACAAAGTATCTTTGAGGGTCTGTGGACCTGATCAAAGTTTAATTTACAGCGAGCAAAACATCTTTTAGAACTTTAAATTGAAGGTTTTTCTCTTAAAGAGACAGACAGTCCCTTCAGTAACCAACTAGGTGTCATTCTGTTCAATTATAAAGTTTGAGTGTCCCAGTATTTCACTTTAACGATGCCTTAGCCTTACAAACAGAGTGGGAGCCGAAGGCGGAGAGAAAGGGAGTGGCTCAGGCTATAAAATGGGCCAGACTAGAGTCTAAGGCATTAACAAAATGACCTTGATCCAAAGTGAATCAAAGTGAAATTGTTCAATAAATATCCCTAAGTGGCCATTAGTCATTTTATAGAGAAATATGTCATTAGTGACATATTTTAGATTGGACAGAAGAACAAGTTTTAAATATTGTTTTCCAAATGACTACATTAAACTCTCATTATGAGGACCTGTAAAGTCTAGGACACTTCAGAGACAATAGATCCAACAGATATGAGGAATTCACTCATCTTAAATGCTTTTTCATCAACCAAATTAAACTTTCCTTTTTAGACTGAGGATGAGGAAACTGTCTAAACCGGCTAGAAGTTCCCTTTACTGCTGTGATTTAAAATAAAGAAAATGAACATGGGATCCAATTGCAGTACATTTCAAAATGACCTACAGCGATCCGTAATCTGATTTACTATTGCTATTTCTTTAGAACTAGGACACCTCATCAGCCACTGGAGCTACCATGCTGGATACATTGTCCTTATTAGATCTCTGTAAAATTACAAACAGGTGTTTGCGGATTAATCACGGTCCATCTCCGTATTAATTTAAAGTAAAAAAGCCTGGGAACTGCAGTGTGTCAGCATCTCAAAATATCTACATGTGTAGCTTCTTCTCTTGGGCCAAGGGCACTTCAGCAGGGGCTGTTGAGAATGAAGGAAGGTACATTTTTCTTTTTCACAACCAAATAATTCCAGCTAGTCCGAGAATTCAAATCAGCCTTTTGAGGAAGAGTTTTCTGACTTGTGAATCAAAAAAAGGTTAGTGTGGGACTCGCAATGGTTTAATATTCCCGGAAGTGAAAAGCCATTTAATTCATGCAATTTGACCTGCTCAAATGATCAAATGAATGATCGAATGTGATCAGACCTTTCAAAATAAAATTTAAATGATTAAAGTAAAGTCAGAAAGAAATGAATCCACTTTTCTAAGAAGGAAATATATGTCGCATTTCTTCCTTTCCTATGATCATGTAGGGTTGGACCTCTTCTCAGGTGGGGTCGCTGACATTCTACTCACCTCGGCCCAAGAAGTGCAGGGTGAGTGCCTGAGCCAGCATCATCTGCCCAGCTCTCAGCATGCAGCCCCAGCCGCAGTCGGAGGTCAGGGGGGAGCTGGGCAGAGGCGGGAGCTCCTCCCTGTAGGTCAGCCACACTCGGGACGCAAAATCCTTGCGGAAAGCTTCGGCGTTCCCCGTGACGGAGTCCTCGTCGGAGGCATCGTAACAGGCTTCAGTGACACTTTCGTCATCTGGGGAAAAAACGGATGACGTTTGATCCACTCAGATATGTGCACAGTGGACAATTGGGATTTCTGTGTGATTTAATGGCCTGAATGGCCATGTGAACATCATTACAGGTAGTGTGTATTTAAATTGTAGTCCTGTGCATGTTTGCTATACCTTCTGCCTTAAAATGGTAACATTTTCCGAGAAGAAACACCGGGGAATTTCTACTGAATGAGGTCTTTGACTTTAGAGCCCAACCTAAGAAACACAATAAAGAAGACAATATGTTAGTTAAGTTGATGGTTAAAAACAAAAGACAAACTCTTCCTATTGTGAAGACCCTGCCTCTTTTGGCTGCTGAGCTATGATGTGCAGATGACAGTAAATGTGGTTGGGTCATAGAAAAGGGGAATTGGAAACCAGTGGTCCCAGTTGTATAAGAAAGGACCTGGTTGTCTTTCCTTTGACCAAACTAGACTTCACTCACTCATTCATTCAAGATCTGAGGATTACTGCCTACTTACTCTTATTATTGTACTTACTACCCTTTTTTCCTCTTTTCTCCCTGTTAAGCTGTATAGAAAGGGAGACAATAACCACATTTTTTAAAATCAAAATAAACTAGCCTTGGTGGACCTGTTGGCATAGAGCTATTTTAAAGGCTGACTCAACAGCAGTAGGTTGTTGTCTCATTGAATTCTGATGCATGTTTGTATCTGTGCCGGCTCTTGTGTCTGCAGTTGATCTCTCTGTATTTACTTTGACTTGTAAAAATGTCCCTGTCTTTGTTCAGCACGGTTCCCCTTGATTTTTTAGCTGCATGTCTATTTAAATCCTCCTAGAAATTGTTCCTGGAACCGTGAACAAGTATAATGAAAGCATTGAAAAGTAAGATCCCTTGTATTTGTGCATAGAATATAATTGGTAGGCCTATATAAAGCGGATTCTGATCTACGAAGTACAATAACTCCAATCGAGAAATTAAGATCGAAGCTCAATGGACAGGTTCAAACTACACACCACTAATGCATGACACTAGTATACTTCACATAAAGTGGAGAAAGGACTAAGCTCGGGTGGCATGGATGTGTGCGCGTCTAATGTGTGCGTGTTAGCCTGAAGCAAACGACTTACTGTATTTTACATTGTGCCACACAGACAAGAACTTTGTCTTCAATGTTTCCACCTCGTCGCTCCCTTTATTCTCCATTTAGACCAGCAAGGGATGTAACCCATTCCCTCACCGCGTACAACCCCTGGTGCACAACACACAGACGAGTGCAAAGAAGAGAGTATGAATAGGTGACCCGGATCAGTCCATAAAGGAGAATTACGTGAAATCACAGCTTGCAATGAACAAGTATTTACCTCGGAACTTCGCCTTCGATCGGGATTTTTTTCCTCATTTCCTTCCACCTGGTTACGTTGTACAAACTTTATTACGTTGTATATTGTTGTAATACCGATGAGTTAACGCAGTGCATCGCCGTGGACTTGCAGTGTAACTTAATAATACTGCGCCGCGGTCTCCGATGTTTACATATTGAGGAAGTAGCAGAGAAACACTCGTGATCTCGCGGTGTTTCCGCCTGGACCAAGAATACGCTCGATGTGTTAATCTGGGTCATCCGAGCGGGCGGAGTTTAAATAACCACTCGCTTGTTATTCCTTGTGACAGTACATAGTTTATTGTCTAAGGGGCCCAGTTTATGATAAATGCCGGGAAACGGATAAAAATCCAGAATCCTCTATTTGATCCAAAAGTAATCAACCATCGTGCAATCAATATGAATGTTCAAGTTAAACGCCAGGATAAACACAAATAAGAAAATATAGCATGGAACATGGAAATCCCGTATTACTTGATGTTTTATTATTTATAATTTAGTTGTAGTTAATTTGTAACTTTTTAAAACGGAATCAAAATATATCAGTGTGACTTTTATTCAAGATTCAAAGAATCTGTGTGTGTGTGTGTGTGTGTGTGTGTGTGTGTGTGTGACTTTTATGTGGAGTCATCTGTGTTCGTTTGTGTTTGTACTGTATATTTCATTATTTTTCATCCAGTAGTTTGTCTTGACATACTGCCGTTAAATAGTTACTAGATGACTTGTTGTGAATATTTGTTTGAAACTCACAAAAACATTACTGAAGGTATACTTAGAGTGTAATATGATACTTTTGCGAATGGAAAAAGACAAATATTTAAGTATAAATATTTGTCTTTTTTTGTTTGTTTTTTATCTTGTAAAAGTATATACTAGTATATCTATCCATCTATTTTATCTATTTGTCTAATCTCTCAGGGTTGAAGTGAAAATTACAACATTTAAGTATGTCAATGGTACCATAATTTAAATGGTAACTGATCATAATCCACAATGAAAAAAAACCCCAAACCTAGTAGTTAAACCCTAACCTAAACAGAATGCCATTTGTAAGGGTGGCTTTTATGTGAAATTCACAGTGCCTAGTAGTTTTATTCCACACATTACGGTGCGCAATGGCTTTTCTTTGGGTGTGTTCTGTTGCAAACCATTACTGCCATTACGGTAATCATCCATTCTCCCGTTTTCCAGTTTTTCCTGTGGCCGAGGAGATTGGAAAGCGGAGTCTGCCTCCTGTAAAGGCTGCCTGGGAATTTCAAAGCTCATCGGCGGCCACAGCCATGGCTGAACGCCGCGCCTTCGCCCAAAAAATCAGCAGGTAAAAGACTCGAGACGCCCCCACCGACCCCCTCCCCGTAACGAGGTCGTCAAAGGCGCAGCGAGAACCATGTCGCCTTCACTGCTGGTCGCCCCGAGACCACCGGCGGGGGAAACCCTGTGAAGGAGGCCCGGCCAGCAGCGCAGCCCGGCCGCTGCGAGCTAACGTTAGCTGCGCTACTTAGCCACATCTATGAGATGCTCAGACCCACCCAAACAGACGTCACCGCTAGCTGCTAGTCTCTGTCCCCATGGATAGCTAACAAAGAAGGGAGATGGTTCATCCTTGAAATACGCTCGTCTCGTCAAAACGGCACTCGGGTTTTCGCAAATTATTTGCAATGCGAGGGACATGCTGTAAATTGTAAAAACGTTTATTTTAGACAGCTAGCGTTAGCCATCTTGCCCACAGTAACGTTCGCTAACGGCCAGGAGCTAGGAGGCACTGACGGGAGAGATGAGCCTGAACTTTAAGTTATGTTTTAGGCGAGAACCCGTCCTTGTAATGCAGTAAGACTGGAAACAAGAGCTTCCATCAACAGCTAGCAAATAACGATGTAATAATCTCCTCACCCGCCTCTCTGACTGATCAAAGTACGTTAATCTCTTTAACAAAGGTCTTTGTGCTAGCTGTCAAATGCCATCTCCCCAAGTGACGGCTGTATACATAGATACATATTCTGTTCTCTCAGTGTCAACACAGACATATTTAGCTAATCATTGAACTCACACTCACAAGTGAATCTCGTAAATATTGATAAACAAAATAATATGTGTCGGCTTCGTGATTCGGTTTTATCTCTGACCTCTGAACTCGAGAGGTTATGATTCCGCTATAACGTATTTGGAGAGAAGGAATAATTGCTCCCGCTTAACTTTTCGTTATGAAAAATCTAGATTATTAAAGAAGGCTTACACATGATCTTCTATTTTTTCCTCTTAGATATGTTAACTTTTTCAGTAAAAAAAACTCCACAAACATCACAGGTTGGATTCATAAGTCTGTCTGCTGTGATCACGTGGTGTCCACTCCGTTGTTGGTGCTGCTTGTGAGTTCACTCCCCATTAATCAAAACCCCAGCCAGTCATCGAACCTTCCCATCGATTGATGTGGATTGAGAATGAGCCGTCGCATGGCAGGTTGTTCGCACAAGAGGAGGCTGAGATGCCCGACAGGATGGTAAGCTGGCAGAATTACAGATGAACATACACAGTGATGCTGTGTACATCCTAATGGGGATACAGGAAATAAACAAAAAAACACAAGCATGGGGACTGTCCTTTGTTCATTTTGCTCAAAAAAGCGCTGCCGACTTTAAGTAATGGAAATAAGTTTCCGTATCTCACACGTTCATTCAAATGAAGTGACTCAAATTGCCAGTGACTTATGTGCCTTAGACACACGCACATCTCAGTCAAACGATTCTCCTCCACTGTCAGCTTCAAATGCCACAGCTCATTATTCTTTCGTGTTATTACCATTTTCAAGATAAGAGACCAGCGTTTGTTTTGGTGACCGGTGCTCAGTAAAGGTCCGGTGAGAGGCATCGGGGAGGACTCCTGAAGGATCAGTGCTTTGCTCCATTTGCACATGCTGCTGAATCTCTACTACGGTCCGTCATGTTATTCTGAATAAGGGGAGTCTTCAACTGTTGAGTCGGGCCACGCAGGTGTCCTTTGAAGAAGATTAGCTGGAAGCTCTTCTATTTTGCAACCTTGTATTTTTTTTAACGATGGGGCGGTGATGCACTGAGCACTATAGTGGCTTTGGGGAAACCAGACTCCGTTCAGACATTTACGGTTTTGCAACACTGTTGACTGGAATCACACCTAATCCTTGCTCACCCCCATTATTATAACCTTCAAGGTAGTTATTGTGAATCTGCTATCAGGATGGAAAGCAAAGGCAGACTAAACATTGGGTCACACGGTTGGTTACGAAGAACAGTGTATGAATAAGCGGTTGTAGCCTCTGTTACCCGTGTAACATCACCCCGTGTCTTCGGGGTCCAGCCCGTATTCTTGGTTCAAATGTGTTGTTTGTTTGTGTCACTTCGGGCTACTTGCTGTGCTGTTGTTTTGTTCAAGGCGAAGGTCTGAGTGGTTTTGGCGGTTTCTGTGATTTAAAGGACCCGTGCAGCAACAGCAGTTGTCGAACAGCAAGAGCTTGGTGACCACTGGTGGGTTCAGTGGATTGTTGTTATTTCTCTCCTCTCCGTCCGGGTGTAAAATATTATTTTGATCAAAATGACACAGAAAAAAAATGATGTTGCCTGATCTTTAAAAGCATAATGTATTTGAAGACATTCACACTGTGAAGGGTATTATGGCCAAACATTGTTACGTACTGTATTGTTGTGATTTTCAGGTTTAATAACACGCTAACTAAGCCAACCAATGTGTCGTTGGTGGATCATCACACACTTTTAGATGGACCGTGTTCACTCTCTCGCCTCCTCCCTCCTCACACCCTCCCGTCTCTCCTCTGTTTGCAGGACTGTGGCAGCAGAGGTCAGGAAGCAGATAGCTGGCCAGTATGGGGGGTCCCCACAACTGTTCAAAAACCTCAACGTTGGGGCCGCAACAAGCAACAATGTGAGTCGTCTCAAGAGCGTTTCATGGCAGGAGCCTGTTATCCCGTCTTTGGTCATCATACGAGTGTGACGGCTGCTGCCACTGCATATTCTGAAACAGCAACATTAATAACAGCGTCGAAGCTGTCAACAGTTGAGATACTCTTTCCCATTATCTCAAATGGCCACACGGTCACTGCTATATACTTCACAAGGATGTCATTTTTTGACTATTAGAATGTGTGCACAGCTGTTGTTGACCATTAGCTGCCCCACATGTAACTTCTACTGCAGTGTTTGTAGGATTGCAAATGTTTGAGGCCAGATGGTGTGTTTGTTAAAGGTTAAGTGCGAATTGTCCCTAAGTAGCCCAGAACCACAACGCCAGCAAATACTCCCCCTCTCCTCCTTAATTAGGGCTATAGTTGGCTTTTAATTAAAATCTGTACACACATACGCACACTTTCACCTTTCACACACTTCACACACTTAAACTGAACCTTTTGAAACGGAGATTTCCCCCTGGGTTTGTCCTTTCAAACGCATAGTAGGGCCAGAGACACGATTAGTCTAAGCCTGATTCAGCTTGATGACAGGTCAAAGCATTTGCCCAAATCCGAAATTTGCTCTTTTTTTTTAGAAGTGGTTCTCCGGTTTGGAATGATAACCCATGAGCTAGAACTGTCCTCTCAATGCAAATAACAGAAATACTCCATATTCTAGACTCTGAATACTTTGCCAAGACATGCGTGTACATAATAAAATAAGAATAGGAGCAGACAGGAGAACTGAAGAGGTAACAAAGCTACTTCCCCTTCCCTATGCTTGTGATCTATGCTTCCCTCACTGAGAGCAAAACACTCGACTAGATCTCGACTCTTTGCGCCGAAATGGTGGAACGAGCTCTCTGAAGACATCAGGACCGCAGAGAGCCTTCACATCTTCCGCCGCAAACTAAAGACACACCTCTTCAGACTCTACCTCGACTAAAGACTAGCAAATTGTAGCACTTAAATTGTACTTGTAACGTCACTCATCTATAGCAAATTGTAAATTGGCTTATTTGAGGAAATTGCACTTTCTTGTTTCTTGTTCTCCTGAGTTTGTACCCTATGGTTGAATGCACTTATTGTACGTCGCTTTGGATAAAAGCGTCCGCTAAATGACATGTAATGTAATGTAATGTGATCTCCCCCTCTCATCGTCCACCAGGTTCCCCTCACAGAGGCGGTGGAGCCAGTGGATTTTGAGGAGTACCTCATCACTCATCCTCCCATCGTG